TGCGCAAAGGCCGACAAGCGTAGGGCGAGGACCCGTCCATCGCCACTTGCGGCTTTAATTCCACATTATTTACTTTCTTTTTTGGATTATACATAATTTATTACTTTTTACTGTGATTTTACTAAAACCTGTTAAACAATCAATTCTTAATGTACAGAACTTTGCTTTCAAATAACATCAAATATCAATAAAACAATTAGTGATTTTTTAAAAATGCAGTCAAACCTGATAAAGAACAAATTACTTTTGATGTGGACATTAATTACAGTTTTTTTACTTTAGTTTTTTTTTACAGTTAACATGTAAATGAAAACGTTCTTTATGTGTTCTAAGTAGATATTATCAGCAATATAAATCTCTAAAATAACAGTTGATTGTTCAAAAAACAAAAAGACAGTTATGAACAAACCGTGGTGTTTTACAGTGTACAATGAGACTGAATCAGCTGGAAGCTCAAACATTTTAACCAGCTGCTCTTTAAAGACTTCAGTCTATTCAGGTTTAATGAACTCTAAAGAGGATCCAGATTCAAAATCAAGGTGAACTCCAGCATGTAGGGGCTGAGTGAAAGAGGTCTGGACTCTGTGGAGGAGAGTCATGGTGTCAGAGACGCTGTAGAAGGACAGAACACCTGCTCTGTGATCCAGGTAAACTCCTACTCTGGAGGAAGGATCACCTGAGACGAGAGTTTTTGTTTTGTTGTACAGAAATTTGTAACTGTTGGTGTAACAAACTAAAGCCCAGGATTTGTCATTTAATCCAAATAAACATTCATTTATGTCCCCTTTTCTGCTGATGTTCTTGTATGCAACTGCTACAAAGACTCTTCTTCCTCTCCTCTCCACCTCCCAGTAACAACGTCCAGTCAGACTCTCTTTACTCAGAACCTGGCACCATGTGAATCTGTCTGGATGATCAGAATGAGACTGAGGTTGATCCATAAATGTCACTTTTCTGTTCCCATCAGAAAACAACAGATGTCTGTGTGCTGTGTTTGGATCCAGAGTGATTTCTCGGGAATATTTTAAGAACCCATCTCTGGTCGTTGGTTCTGACAGTAAAACATCCACTTCAGTGATGGCCAGTGAGATGTTTGTCCATGCGTCCCTCAGAACATCCTGGAGTTGATCTCTGAGCTCCTCCACAGCTGCTGTCACGTCCTCAAAGTGTTTCCGAGGACGGATGCTGATGCTGGATGAGTGTGTGGACTCGCTGAGTGCTAACACTGAGGGGTAGTTGTGGAGGAACTGGCTGTGATCTGGTGTCTCTGAGAGCTGCTTCAGCTCAGCGTCTTTCCTCTTCAGATCACTGATCTCCTGCTGCAGCTTCTCCTCCAGCTCTTGGACTCGACTCACTTCAGCCTCCTGCTGGGATCTGATCTGCTGCTTCACCTCAGAGCTTCTTTTCTGGATGAGACGGATCATCTGGGTGAACATCTCCTCACTGTGCTCCACTGTTTTATCAGCAGAGACACTGATGGCCTCCAGCTCCTGTTGAAGCAGCTTCACATGTTCCTCTCTGTCCTGGATTCTCTGATGGATTTTTTGTCGAGTCGGCTCAAGTTCCTTCTGCTTCTGCTTCCTTTCTGCTGCAGCTGAGACTGTTTTATGGCCTTCATGGTCATCCACAGAGCAGAGATAACAGATCAGCTGCTGATCAGTGCAACAGAACATCTCCATCAACTTATCATGATGAGGGCAGATGTTCTCCTGGAGGTTCTTGGAGGGCTCCACCAGCTGGTGTTTCTTAAACTGAGCAACATCATAGTGAGGCTGAAGGTGTTTCTTACAGTAGGAGACCAGACAGACCAGACAGGACTTGACAGCCTTCCTCTTCCTCCCAGTGCAGACATCACAGGCCACATCTTCAGGTCCAGCATAGCAGTGATCAGCAGCAGCAGCAGCTTGGAGTCCAGTCTTCTTCAGCTCCTCCACTAACTCTGCCAGCAGGACATTTTTCTCCAGGACAGGCCTCGGTGTGAAGGTCTTCCTGCACTGAGGGCAGCTGTAGATTCCCTTACCGTCCTCTGCATCCCAGTGGCATTTAATACAGTCCAGACAGTAGCTGTGTCCACAGGAAGTAGCCACTGGATCCTTCAGCAGATCCAGACAGATGGAACAAGAAATGTTCTCTGAAGTCAGATTAGATCCTCTCTGAGCCATTTTCTCGTCTGAGCAGCGACTGAATGAGTTTCTGCTTTCAGGAAAGTGAAACTAGATGAACCAGTCTGAGCCAGTCAGCTCTCTGTCGTCACCACATGTTGGTTCCACCCAGTTTAAAGGTCTGAAGGAGGGAACAACGAAACATGGACAGACTGCAGGGAGTGTTTTCATTCTGATTCCAGGAAGAGAAACTTTTGAAAAACTGCAGTGAAACCACAAACATCAACATCCAACATGTGTTCAATCCATTAATATCTAGATTTGTGGTATAAACTATGTAAAAGAATGAATTAGTATTTTGTAAAAATACAGATTCTTGATGTGAACATTATTTAGTTTGCCCTGTTTTTAGGGCTGACATGAAAATTAATATGTTAAAAATATGTTTAACTAGTTAAATCTGCAAAATATAAGTAAATTGTTCCAAATATTATAGTTAAAAACGTATAAAAAATTTTAAAAAACAACACCAAAAAACAACAACGTTGGATCACAAACTCCTCGTTGAAGCCGTTTCATGTTCAGCTTTATTTCTTCATTTATCAACACACTACGAGCAACACAAACAGCAGCAACCACAATAAACTCTGATGGCGAAGAACAGAAAACAGTTGTTGGATCTCAATGAAATATATCCCAGTTTAAAATCTTTATTCATTACATAGTGGAATGTGTTGAGAACAAAATAACATAAACCTGATCATTGTAAATGTAAATTATTATCCCATGGAGGTCTGGATTTGAAATCATTCTCAAAATAAAAGTGGCAACTCACATTACAGGCTGATCCAACTTCAGTGGAAATTCCTCAAGACAATTCTGAATGAGGCTCAGTAGTGTGTGTGGCCTCCACGTGCCTGTGTGACCTCCCTACAACGCCTGGGCATGCTCCTGATGAAGCAGGATGTTCTCCTGAGGGATCTCCTCCCAGACCTGGATGAAAGCATCAGTCAACTCCTGGACAGTCTGTGGTGCAACGTGGCGTTGGTGGATGGAACGAGACCTGATGTCCCAGATGTGCTCAATTGGATTCAGGTCTGGGGAACGGGCAGGTCAGTCCATAGCATCAATGCCTTCATCATGCAGGAACTGCTGACACACTTCAGCCACATGAGGCCAAGCATTGTCATGCATCAGATGGAACCCAGGGCCCACTGCACCAGCATCTGGTCTCACAATGGGTCTGAGGATTTCATCCCAGTACCTAATGGCAGTCTGGGTACCTGACAACAAATGCCTCCCCACACCATTGCTGACCCACCACCAAACCGGTCATACTGGAGGATGTTGCCAGCAGCAGAACGTTCTTCACGGTGTCTCCAGACTCTGTCACGTTCATCACATGTGCTCAGTAGAGCTGGCCTGAGGCATAAGCAAACTAAGCGCCTGCTTAGGGCCCCGGTCACCAGTAGGGGGCCTCCAAGGGCGGTTAACTTTTTAAAAAATATTTGTTCACTTTTATTGTTAAAAATAGATTGAATTTTTTTGCATGTTTGAGTGATGAGCCATGTATTATCAAAGTCATATAAAAAAACCCAGTATTATGTAAACAGAGCTCTGCTGGTGTAGTGACTCTCCTCCCTCCGCTCTGAGCTCAGTGCTGCGTGCAGAGCAGAGCTCATCTCAAGAGCAGGTCGAGGGGCAAAATGCTGCAAAAAAAGGACGCATCCCTCTGGAGCTGAAAAAGGAATATTAACTACAAAGTTGGCCACCAGATTTCATAGCGATGTTGTAAATGACTTTGCCTGTAGAAAAGCAAGGAAACACAGGTTCTAAGAAGATGGAGTACTGAGGAAAAATATAGACATATATAGAATATAGACATAACATAAAAAAGTCAAATGATTGGATTACAGTAGTTTATTTACTGTACAAAGTTATTCTCACCATTTTTAGTTTTCGGCTCTAATTATTTAACTTTATATTTGATTTCTAAACCATGTTTGTTACCTTGTTTAAGCCACATCTGTTCATTTACCTAATTATTTAAGTATTTATTTCAGTTTTTATTTAACTGTTTTTGTAAATTTTCATTTTAATGCGGTACTGTTTATTTAGGTTAAGTGATATTTTAGTAAATTTAGTAAGAAACTCTCTTCACATTTATGATAAAATAGTTGGTATGATATTCAAAACAACTGCAAAACACCAATAACTTTAGGTCTGAGAGTCTGAGACTTCTGGGCCTGTACCATTTAGTCCAGTGGGGTCTTCAAAGGGTCAAAAATAATATAACTTTAAGCTATGCATGTATGTGTATTCAATAGGTTCATTGTGCTATCATGTAAATTTTTCCCTTTAATAATGGATCTCCATCAGCTCGCTTTCATTAGGTCCATGAAAAACTATCAAGTGCGCTGGTTGAAAAGACAGAAGCACCATTACCACCCACATTCCTACACAGCCTGGTCACTGTAGGCCTACTGCATGGTCAGTGGTTATGACTACACTATTAACACAATCTGTTTGCAGCTCAAGTGACTACGATTCACAAGACTTAATGAATCATGTTTTATTCAATTACAAAACAGGGAAAAAATACAACTACTGCACTGAGCTACTCTAGAAAATGCACCTGCAAAGTTTATTTCATAAATAAATGATATTGCTTATAAATGCCACTGTTGCAGTTACACTTCACACTTTAGACACAGTGATGAAAAATGCTGAATTAAAAGCCAGTTTAAGACAGACACTTGTGGATGCTTCATTTCTTTTAAAAAAAGTGTGTGCAGTGTAACACTATTTTGAAATGAATACATTTAAAAAAAAAGAAACCTAAAGATAAGGCTGAAAAATGAAACCAGCACTTAAGGCAGAATGGGCTCAATGGCTGTGTATACAGTGTATAACAGTCACTAGTTCCTAATTTAAGAAATAGTCATGCTAAGAGGCCAACAGGTAGTCTTCAAAAAGTCATCATAAGCTCAAATATATGTCATGTCTCTCCTGCTCTGGCTCACATTGGTTACTAGTGAAATGCAAAACTGTCTTTAAAATGCTACTTGTTGTTTTTGAAACCCTCAGTGGATTAGCCACACAGTACATTACTGATCTACTAATTCCATATTCAGCCCACAGGACACTCAGGTCTTCTTTACCCGCTCTTGCCTCAAAACCATAGACGACCTTTCTGTTGCTGCCCCCAAGTTCTGAAAGTGTCCCATTCCACACAAAGTCATGTCCCATCAGTGACCATTTTAAATCACTTGTAAGAACTATCCTTTGGTTTGTGCTTCTAACTCATTCTATGTTTGCCCCATGATTTTTAAGTCTATTCTTATATATTTTTACAGTCCTCTTATCATGTTTTAGCTGCTGAATCTAATACAATTTTGTTGTACTTTTCACTTTGTGTGGCTTTGACTTGACAGTTTACTTATTATTTATGACTGGCATTTACCACTCAATTTAAATGCTTTATTTGCTTCACTGGGATACATAAACATCAAAAGTAGACATTGTCTCGGTTAAAATGTAAAGAAAGTTAAAAGTAGTTTTTCTTATGGGCAACAAAAAGTTTTTCTCCTTTATGACAGAACAAAGTGAGAGGGGTGCAAACAAACTATAGCCTTTGCTACTGAAGATGCTCCAGAATCAGAAAGAGCTCTTACTCCTGTAAATTTCTTAAAATATGTTGCAATAAATATTTTGAAAGTTGAGATCTCCAGAAGATGGAGCTGAGAGAGAAAACTTGCTCCTGTCATTAGAGGAAGTACGGGGTGGTTGTTCGGGGAGGTATGACGCGCTCAGAGTCGGGGACAGCCCGGAATAGCTTAGGCTCCCGTCTGTTGACATCTTTGAAGACCATGATGGAGGCGATGTTCCCGCAGCGGTAGCAGTAATTGGGTGCTGACCACACAGTTACCAGCTTCTCATCAAACATGAACTTGTAGCCTTCATGAACCAGCTGGTGTGCACGGCAGATGAGCTTCAAGTTGTTGATATGAACAAACTAAAACAAGAAAAATAAGAAATACTTTCATGTTTGCTTGTAATGTTTCGGGTCAAATTATGTATCTTTCCCCATTTTCTACTAATCAGATTTCAAACGTTGATGACTCGGTGTACCTCGTTGGTGACCTTGGAGCCAAACAGCCAGCCGGCACCACGTGGACTGATCGCCCAGGTGTCCACATCCTCTGGGTCTGACCACACAAGATCACAGAATGCCCCCTTGTGGGGAATCTCCTGGTTGCGTTCAATGGTTCGGATCTGGTCCAAAGTCTTGATATCAGGTGAAAGACCACCGTGAACACACAGCACTTGCTCATCTATCAACTGGAAATATAGTTTGAAAAGTATCATTAGAAAAGCATGTAGTTTTAAAAGACTGAACTGAAAAGTCACATTGCATTTGCAACACTTCAAAGTGAAAGCTTTTACACTTCCTTCCAACTGTTTCACCACACCAGTGGACTTTAAAGAGGAAGAACATAGTTGCAGTCAAACAATGGACAGATCGGAATCTGGTGGCTTTACAACTGTAAACACATGACAACTAGAAAGACTTAAAAAAAAACAAAAAAACAACTGATCAACAAAGTCTAATAAATGTTGTTAAAGTTTGCTCATAAAATGTGGTAGCACTAATGGACTGGCCAGTCTGCTGCTGCCATCTGTGCCTGTGCGTGTGTCTGTTTACTTGCCACCTATCTAAAGTCCTGAACATGAACAATTGTGTGTAACTGTTCTTCATGCTACTGGCTACTCAAAGCTGCCTTTATTGATCAGGCCACTGGGGAGCACATAAACTTCAGCAGTTTTAAATCTGAATAACAAACACCGGAAGTTGACATAGAGTATCACATGGGATTTTTTTGTTTCTTTGCAGCTCATTCTTTTACTGTTCCATCGTATGAGCTGAAAACCTCCGACACACAAATAAAGCAAACTCTACGATCACTTGATCTAATGAATCATCTCAAAGGAAAAAACTGTTACGTGGTCTCAGTTATCATATAAATAATTTAACAACTATTACAGCACATCAAATGATCTGATTTTAAAATCGTTCTGTTCATTCCTCCAAGTATAGGTCTAGACTGTACTACTGCATACTGTATACTACCTAAGAACCTCAGTGACAGTGCGGCATAGCAGAGACTGCCCTTGTAAATAACAGCTTCTCAAATTACCAACCACTGAATTGCTGTGGGAATACAGCCATGCTACAGACAAGCAAGACTTTTCACTTAAAATTGAAAATAGTTCTGCTACAACTGCTACTACAATTATAGGATGTGTTTTCTTTTTGGGGCTCCTTGTCATACTTCACACACAGGAAACCTACAGTACTTTTACCATTTGACACCAAGTGATACAACATAAGTACAA